AGAGTGATTATATGAAATATATACGTATCATGTATACAGCGGACCGTTTGCTTTATATTCAATTTTTACATATTATTTGCCAAAGTTTATTATCCCGTTTTCTGTAATGTCTATCAAGACGAAAAATTCGCAAGTGTTTAAACACTTTCATTGGCACAAGGCTTTCATAGAAGCAACGATAAAGTTTGCGCCAATGACGAAACGTAATTACGCAGAATTCTAACGAAGCTACCGGCGATGCTCTGAGTGAATAAGAAGGGAAGCAACGCTTTTAAGGCTATAATGAAAACTGCTATAAACCGTAGACTCCTCCATACTGTTGCTTGACCTTCGATTTTGTCTTAAACGTCCCTCTACCTTCTTCCCTTATTATTCTTGATTTAATTCGTAGTCGCGTTAAATCAACTTGGATATTAATATATAATAGTAAGCTTATATATTTTAAATTATGAGTATTTTAATGAGTATTTCATCAAAATAAGAAAAGATACCGCGTGGTTCGCTAAGAAATTCCTGCATTGTACTAAAGGAGCTTGGAAGAAGTGCAAGGATCTGAGAAACAAATTACGTGCAAATTATTTATTCGTCAGAGCGGTAGAGAGTCGGTCCTGAATTGAATAATTCGTGTCAAGTGCTTTTCGAGACGTTAAAATTCTAAATGCGCCGTGCGCAATAAATCCAACGTGTCAATAATTAAATTCAGCTACGAGAATTCCCAACGAAATTGCTGGACATTTTGAGAGTTGCGAAAGGGTTTGCATATCGCGCCGAACGACCAACTTTGCATGGACTTTAGCGGACTTTAGACTTGCCTTATCCATTCGTATTTGCGGAGGAGCAGAGTTTGCTCACAATACGCGGCCATACAGCCGTAATTTTGCGTAGCTAAGAATGATCTAATAGCTTCGTGAAAGTATTGTAATTCACGGCGATAATTGCTTTCTGCAGCCCGTAAAATTTTGTCACTGATAGCGGCAAGTCGAAAGTATTTTCCGTCTAATAACATACAAAGAAGAGGACGGAAGAGTATAATTCGCGCTTTTAATTGAAATGGAGTTATTGATAGAAGATAGTAATATTTTAAAAAATTTAAATATTTCTATAAGATTATTACTTTTAACGATTTATTTCTACGTGTGGTACATTAACTATAAATTACCACAATATAATTAATTATCATATACAGATAAATAAACAATTTATAATTTAATATAATTAATAAAATATTACAATAATTTCGATAATAACAAAAATTATTCTCAGTAATAATGGGTTGTATTATTAATTATCTGAAGTGTCATTAATCATTACTGACACACTGATACCGCCAATATTCAGAAACTCTAGAAATTCTGGTCATTAGGCTTATCCATAGAAAGGGTGAGATATTCCACTTAAACCAAGTATTCTGAGTGGCGGGCTGGTCTAGTTACACGCGCATCGAACGCAGCGTTCGCGGTATAGCGTTCCCGAGAGATCCTGCACCATCCAGACGGTGCAAGACATGTTACTTACGAAGAGTGACCTGGAAATTCCTCAGCAAAACGACTGATGCACGACCGTTAGGGAGTTTCTCATTCCAATCGGGAGTTTTCCTCGCCATAAGCGGCGGGAGGGAAAGAGCATGCGTTGCAGCAGCCGGAGGGGACGCAAAAATGGTCCAACACCTCTTGGAATCCGGTCGAGTCTTTCCAGAGAGAGATAGAGAAATACCAATAGTCACGCTGCACTTACTTTGACAAAGCTCTTTTTCGTCGAGTTCAGCGCGCCTTTTTTCCATCACGCCACGTATTTGCGAGTAATCCGAGAAATTGGCACTGTGAACAGCGACGGCGCGTTTTTACTTGTGTCAAGAACCCCTGGGGGAACATGAGATGCTCCGTAGTAGCAGAATAAGCACTTTATTTTGTTTAGAAAGACCGCATAGTACATTTTCTTTAAAACGAATATGTTATGCAGAAAATGGTGTGAGAAAATAGTATTGATGAAATATTTCAATTAATAAATAACATTAGGAGTTACTGTTCGCATATATTTTAAATAGAGTTTAAAAAATAACATAAAGTACATACGTGATATTAGATTTTACAATATTTATAGCGAAAGTTACAATAATCACAATTGTGGAATTCTTTTTTACGGTGCTTTAAATTTATTTAGAGCTACACATATACACTTGACAATTCGCGTTTGTCGCTAAAAGCGCCCGATGTAAAATTTTTAAGTTTCTAAATAATTAAGTTTGAAAGATATCGTTTTCAAACTTTGCGTATAATTATATTCCATAACGGAGCAAATAATATTCCCGGAGAAAATTGTATCGAGCGTGCCAGATCGTCCGCTGCTGTCGGTCGGAAATGCATCTATGATCCTTTGGCATTATCAGCGAAACAAAGTACCGGATAACCGCGTTACGAGTCAATCTCTCCGTCAGGGGTAAGCTAGTCCTCGGAGGCTTTTTGATGGAAACAGTTCTTATTTCGGTCGCGGAAATTCGAATCTGTTCCATTTGCGTGACTTTTAACTTTGCTCCAAGGAAAAGATGTCTAGTGATAAATTCGTATCTAAAATAAATATCTATTATAATAATTCCTAATGATCTTATGAATTGATAATTGTTATTCAAATTTATTTTAATTCTATGCTTCTCATTTGCATAGATTTGCATAATAATTCTCGCCCCGAGTGAAATTGAAATGGCCAGATAAAGAAATAGCCTATGTTCTTTATAACAATAAGTTTTTCACTCGGTGCGCGCGCACGTCTCGCATCTTTAAATTTGCATAAATTTAGGCGTTTGTTCCGCAATACATCTTGAGATAAATCTCTTTTCGATGTGTCTTCGACAGGAAATTACATTTACGCCAGTATCTGGACGATTTAGTATTACAAGAAGAAAGTGATCGGTGATGCGAATATTTGTTTGCACTGTAGTCGACGTTGCGCTATTTATAGGTACACGTTCTCTGAGTGGTGTAAGTAGGAACCACGTACCTTTCCTATTCAAAATTTTAGACAGCTCGTGTGATTAATCGAGCTCCTTCGCGGAGCACCACATGGGAAATGTTGCATGTGATCTAATCGATTGGAAGATGACAACGTCGGATTTCACATCATGTATCGGTGATTTATTAAGCCACGGATAGTAATTACCAGACTGTGTGTTTGATCGTAACATAATCGTTTAAGTCAGGATTGTGCTATGGTATAAACGACGGGGGGAAGGTTGAAAAATTGGAACATGATAAATCAATTAGACTTCACACGGAAGAAATCAATGGTCGGATAAGTTAGACAAATTTTGAATTATGCAGTCTCGTTGCATTTCTACAATTACAAATTTAACAGTGAATATCTCACCGTGTTGCGATTCCTCCTCATCGCAACATTGGTTCAAAATATGTACATTTAGATTGTCACATTTAAATGACTAGAATAATAGATGGGACATTTATTTAGATTCTGGATTAATTTAGCGCTCTGAAATTATAATATTTAACAAACTGGAGGAAAGGGCCAATGTGAGCCGAAGCGCCAGAAGGAAGAGGCGTTACCACTTTTTGTTAATAAAACACTTTATTATCAAAAGAAATATTCTAGACGTTTCGATTCACATCTTCTTTAATTCTACACTGATTGTGAGACAAATTTTCACCGGATAAACCAATTGCATAGCGTTTCCGATGGTTAATTTTTCCGATTACGTTTTCCGATTAAATTATGAATGCATTCGATGAAATGCAGTTACCGATGAAACTTGATTGAAAAAGCGATCACATTTCTTATCGGATATACAATTTAATCTATATCCGTTTGTTATTATGTAATTGGATTGTCCGATTATATTAAATCAGACATTTTTCTCAGTGTAACGAGATGTAACGTACACAATTAGTTGACTTAAAAATTGCACGATATTCCACGTAATATAACACAAGGGATTGCAAAGGGGTTGTGCAGTATTGAATTTACTAGATACTTAGGAACGCTGTCACGCGCCGTGCGAGCTTTGAAGAACCTTCGACACTGCCGCGAAATCTTTTAATGAGCTTACCAAAGCCTAGAAGCCTTATATCGGCACGTCTCGCGGCAAAGTAAACGTGGAAAACGGCAAACCGTCGGTGCCAGTTGTTACATGCGTCACGTCGCCGGGATTTCACGCTCCGTAAAAGGCCGTAAAAAACGCAGACTACTTTGAATTCGTACGCACGTTTACGGTCGTTGAGAAAGATTCGACTCGTGTACCATGGTGAGTTCGCCGATAATAGCACAATTGACGACACAAGTGAACGAAAAGAACTATATTTTATTATTTCCCCAAATATGATTTATTCCGCCCAGAAATAAGCTATAATTCTTTTTCATTATATTCTGTTATACCTATTAGCTTAAATTGTAAGATCAGATCGCTTTTACTTACTGCGTAAGTCGACAAAAGTCGAGTAATATCCCCTAAACTCGTCCCTTTAATTATAACTGGTCAAATATTTGGCAACGTCGGTGAAACTACACGTAATAACGACGTTCGAGCATCACGTTCGACGATGATAGTCAAAATTTACCAACTACGGCTTGTGGTGCGTGAGAGCAGCGGAGGAGAGATTAAACTTCCGCGTACAATAGGGCGGTTCGACTTACGATGAAGGGATGCACCGAGAATGAGGGCTCGCCGGACATATCACCTTCCATAGAAATGATCGCGCGCGCGCGCCCCGGGCTGTCCTTTGCCGATAACTGGCGTCGTCGTTGTAATTTCCTCGTTCGCTGACCGCAAGCTCTGTCGCGCGAATCTGCACGTTTCGTTGCGCGCAGCCGTGTTTCATGCCACTTTATTGCGTACGATTGCTTCGCTGGTGACTGGTTCCGAACACGAATTTAGACCTAGGGATTCGAGGGAGTTTTATTTCGTCCTTGTCGATACCGATGACGTGTTATCAACTACCAGTTCTCATTTACGTGCGCATCGTTTTCGATAACGGACAAAGCCGGCCGGTTGCGCGTTCGAATAGGAATAACGACCGAGCCAACTTTTCTAACTAAGCGTTCGACGGGCGACTTCCGAAGTGGAGCATCGGGGACAACGCTGTACTGATACCTCGTAGCTACTGCTCCTAGTGACCAACTTTCCGTTCGTGACGTAACATACTGAATCCATTTAATTATAGGACGAGCAATTATGCAACTAACGGCAATGGTCGACGTCTGATGGACCTAGATCGATTTTCGTTCGCCGTGTTCTCAATACTCTTCTGCCATTTTTTGCCTTCATATACAAATATTATTTCCAGATATATAGAGGAAAGTCCTCCATTGTGAGATGGGATTCTAATACGAGATAGCAGGTTTTCAACGTCCAAATTCAATCGCAAATCTTTTTATCGCAATGATCGCACGATCTAACAATCAATTCTCCACTAAACAGAATTCAATCCAATGCCGTTTCTAGCACAATAGTTTGCACCGATTTCGAGAATTTCGTATTATTTCACCATTCACAGCGCACGAACAACTTTTATCAGTCTTTTAGCTCCCGTGACGACGCGTGTCGGCACGTTTGTGAAACAAATCAGTCTTTCATCGATTTGTTTTGTTTCCATCGACACACCCTTTGCCAATCGTATAAGAGCGACGCGGAATATTTTCTATCAAATTCAATTACGATCATCCGTTGACCTTTGTAACCAACTTGAAATCTTCTGCCGCGCACCTGTTTCCATCAATGCTCGCTCGTGATCCCATCGTATCCCTATTATTCATCATTGAAGTGTGAACAATAGAGTCCAAATTTTGATAACTAGCCAGTCACTGGAAAGACTGGGCGACAGTCTCGAGATAGGGGGGGAGAGAGAGAGGGTGGGGGGGGGGGTGGAATGGAGCATTGTAGAGAGAACGATCTGCTCTGGCGAAGGCTGTTCTTTGTCGATAACGATTCCACTATTCCTCCTCCTTGCAATTTACTTGGTATAATACCGTGAACTTTGATCTGCCAAGATCCATATTCGTCTTCGTAATTTCATAGATCGCGAGGCTACAAGATGAGAAGTTGTTAAAGCTGTTTAATGCCATCGAGTAAATTAGTTTTTAGTTGCGTGTACGAATTGGTGCGCAGATATTATAAATTTCTACAGTTCCTCGGAATTCACTTTACAATAAGAGTCCCTGGATCACAATTTTACTCGTAATATAAACGCATGTAACAAATAGTTTTACTATATAGTATCCATAATTTTAGAATTGAAAGATTGGCATTTAGGAGGAGAAATTTCCGTTCATTTTGTACGTGACAATTTTTTATTTTTAAAATATTCAAGAAAAAAACAGAATTTTATCTATTGCGTGTCAACGTGAAATTGTCCTTACAAGTATGTTACTCGCACTTTCAGGTTATATAATTAATATTTATTATAGTTAATTATTGAAAGTTATACACCAACGTTGTAACAGTTATAGTTAATTATTATAGCCAACGATAATTTAAAAAAATGTTCTTTATGTTGAGAGAACGTACTAAGAATCACGAATATTTCTCATAATTTTAATTTCGTATATGCGACGGTTCAAGTACGTACGTAGACTCGATGCGTTGATCGCGGTCATCACACCCACTCTTAAAGTATGCGCATCTCTTGTACGCTCAGGAATGCCACGTGTAACTGCGCTCACGCACACGCATATCCCGGGACGGGAGTACACGCTTTTAATTTCATTTTCTCTCAGGTTCGCCGTTTATCGTAAATCGTCATGTGTTGAGACAATTTTCTTTGTATTCTCGATGAATCAGTTGATAGTCCAGATTACGTGAGTTGGTAATAGGAGAAGAAGCGAAGCAGGATAAAGAGTTCTCGTTTCTAAATCTTTGATTTGGTATGGATAGGATTAAAATTCTAAACGTGTCCTAACAATACTCGGTGACAATTCTTGACATCCCTCCGACGTTTTGATGAGTTTTCAAGATAGTATTCCATGTAGAGCTGTTGAATTTTTGTGAACATGATTTCTTTTCTTGATTTTATTAGTTAAATTTTGTTAGAACGATAATGTAAAAAGTCCTAGTGTCTATTATACAATTAATAATGATGATAAAGGCGTTCGGAGCATATGACGACAATGCGAGAATCGACATTGTGTTTATAAAGAGATGGAAAGAGACAGAACACGCGTGTTAAATTGTTTTTCAAAATAAATTTCCGAAACGTCTGACATCATATTAAACATATCGATATTTGTTTTGAAAAACAATTTAACACGCGTGTTCTGTCTCTTCCCATCTCTTTATAAACACAATATGCTCCTAACGTCTTTATCATAACTATTAATTTTATCTCAAAGGAGCTTATCGATTAATACACCTTTCTATTACACAACTTTGACATTTTCACAATAAACGCGTAGAACGGAAGATGTATACTTTTAAGATGTTTGGCATTAAAATCGATACTTGCAGATGATTGCTACGTAATCATGAGGAAACGAGGCAACGAGAATAAAGCTAGTAAGAGTTGTCAGAATGGAGGCAACGCATTGGAGAACTCGGATTCGGGAGGTCTGAGCGATGACGAGAACCAAGGCTTCGGAAATTGGCTTCGATCCAGCACCGGTATCGAAATGATGCGGCTCTTCGTGATCGCGAATTCGATTTTGGTCTTCGTGACTATGGGTTGGCCGAATATGAAAGAATCCTTCTACATCATCAAAAACTATCTCGCGGGAGAAGAGGATTAAATAATTAAATGATCCCCATCGAGATGATTGTTTAGAAGTAACGTTATAAATTTAGTTCGTTTTAAATAAGCATAGCACTATTATTCTCAATTATTACAGCTGTTAGATATATCTGTCAATGTTAGTTTTATCTTTCGTATCATCGATTAATCTCGAGCAATATCAATATCTTAAATTCGATGTTAATATAAAAATTAACACCAAATCAAATCGGCATTGGAACTGATAATAGATAAGTAGTAACGTTAGAAATAGAAATAGAACTTGTTATCGATTATATACTATCTGTTGTTTTAGCATAAGTTTAAAAAAATATTCAATTCACTTGGATAGTAAGTGCGTTTTAAGATCAATAAGAGGTGGATAGATATTTAAATCTAGATAGATCTACGAAGGTAAACGAGAAGTAATCGTCTACTTTCAAAAGATTTAGTATTTTTGCAAATGCCACGAAATTGGTAAACAGAACTGTGACAGAACTTCCTTTTTGTGCGGCGTTTGAAAGTCAAATGTGCAGATCGTTTGTATAAGATAAAACTCTTCTCTATATTTTTCTTGCTAAAAGTTCCTCAACTCGAAGGAATAAACTTCCATAGATTTATAGATCGTATAACTTTTAACAGAACGTATAAGTCAGTTATTAAACCGGACTTTAATATTAAAATTAAGTTTTGATGATAATTTATAGTAGCATTCATTATTTTGACAAAATTTTCAAGATATTTATTCATAGCATCCGTAAATTTAGTTATAACCTAAAAACACTTTTATAACATCAATATTTGGCAACATTAAATTAGAAAGGTGCAAATTGGAAATTTGCACATTCCTTCCTCATTATCTGGGCAAGTTTTTCTTTCAATTTTGGCTTCCTCATAGAGAAAGCTTTGTAAGCTAAGATGCAAATTGAAAATTGCTTTCGCAGAATTTTAATTCGCGCATTTTGTGAGGAAGCAAAAATGTACAATTTTTTATAAAAAAAAATTAGAAAGTGTAAATATAAATTAATAAGAGTCAAAAGTATTTTGATATTGAACAAAGTTTTAAATGAATAAATATTATCAGCCAAGTAAATTGTGAGAACTTGAGAATATAAGATCTTGAAATTTTACGTTAAATTTACTCTTAAAACTAATATATGTGTCTCATCAACAATAATATAAGACTGATAGTTGCGTTTACGTTCTCACACACAACTTTAACTTATCTGTGTGCTGAAGAAACTCAAAATATTTATAAGCGCTGCGGCACATCTCAAGAAGAGAGAGTAGTCTTCTCTGAACGTATAACATCAGTTATTAGCCGAAGTTGTAAGTGCGCTACGTTAGGGTATATTTTGACTGCAATAGTGCATAGAGAATGTTGTAATATCGCATCGCAATAATCAACAAAGGCCTAGTCATGTTGGCGTTCATCATTCGCGGAGTGTTTCTGATCAGCGTACTGGGCTGGTACAGCGCCACCGTCTGGAAGGTAATCGACGGTTACTTCCAAGACCAGTTCCGCGCTTACTTGCAGGAAGAGTATCGCAAGCATCCGCGAATCAAGGCCAACGTCGAGAGCGCCGGGGCTGTCGATAAGGGGCCTGCTTCGAGCGCGTTGCCAGCCGAGTCGAGTTTGAGCAAGTCCGGCATCGCGGAGACCTACGGTTCCAACGTGGTGAGCCCGGCCGACATCGCAGACGCCTGTCCGTGTGCAATCGCTCCGAGCGGGAGGCCGGAGGAAGCGGTGGCAGGTGGCACCAGCGAAATCGCGGTCGCCGTAGGCGCCGGTGCCACTGATAAAAATACACTCGCAGCGAACGCGGTCCGATCGGCGCAGGAAAGTAGGGAACCGTCGAGCGGGGACACGCGCGATAAAGAACAGCGACCGGGTGCCATCAATCAGGACGGCGACCGCGAAGAGGATACGATCGAGGGGAGCGCACTTCCGCCCCCCGCGTCCGCGCGTCGTGCCGAGAAACCGCGACGTCGCCTCGGCGAGAAGAGACCATTGCGTGCCTCGAAAGAGGTCTCGAGGGAGATATCGCGGGAAAAGCCGAGGAGTCCAAGAGTGAGCACGCTCGTTCTGACCGACGCCGATTTTGCCGCCCCGAGGACCAGCGACGTCGAAGACGACGATTTCGCAGAGTTCGAGGAGGAGGAGAAGAACCGAAGGGTCCGTAAAAAAGGGATTCTCGTGTCGGAGCTGCCATTCAAGCCCAGGGCGGATATCGGCTGCCTGGATAGGGTCACCGCGGAAGAATTTTGTCCTCTGACCTTGGAGGACGAGACTTCCTGCGGGGAAACCACCACGTGGCCGTGACTGCGCTTGACGAGCGCCGTCCCGGTGAAGTTGCAAGTATTAGATCGCACGGAAAAAGTCATGCATCAACAGCGGGGCATCGAAGGGCTTAGGAACATGCTGAGAAAGCTGAGGCAGAGGACTGCCACTGTTATCAGAATAAATCTGTTCAATTAGTCTCGCGTCTTTATTAAGGACGATGATGATGGATGTTGGGCGAGGATGTTTTACATCTTGTCACGTTTTTATTGGTGTATTGCAGTTTATTCAGTTCACAAGTTGAGTAGGGTGAAATAAGGTTGTGGCGGATAATCGTAGTTTTAATCTAAAACAATGTGTCACTACCTTTCTATTAGGCAGAATTAAATCTTGATTCGATATAACTAATATTTTTGCGTCAACATTTCTTCCGAGATATGAAACTATACATATTCAGCATAAACTTCTCTAATGGTTTCTCGCTATGCGTTTTATGGTACAATAAATTTTATATCTATTTATTTTACGAACTCGGCGATTGGTTGAGGCGATAATTATGACATTAGCTGGAACAAATTTTCGCTGCTTAAGGATATTTCGAATCCAGGACAAATATAAGTGACTCCGTGAATCGAATAGGATCGTTAAATAAGGCAACGTTGTCCTTTGACCTTGCGAAAAGAGGTTCTACGAGGAGAAACTAGCGAGTGGCCGTGAGAAGTCAGAGAAATCGCGATGTACAGTGCCGTATCGGAAACGCTTCAGCGGAAAAATCGGGAACGTACGTTAAAACGCACGATTTCGTCTACACGTATACCTCATTGTGCACGCTGAAGGATAAAATTAAAAATTGATACGCAATAATGGACAGCGTTTGTCGCGTTATGTAAAGATGACAAATGTCGACGAGTAATCGTTGAATAACACGCGTGGGAGATGCACGTTTTGCAAATGTAATTTCAAGGAAAATCGAGTAAGGTCGGAGCGTTTTAAGCGCTCCTCTTAAACAGATATTACAGTATTTTATTTATTAACTAATAAAACTGCGAGCGGCTAAGAGCAGAGCAATCACGTTCCGCCTCTGTTCATTGCGCTCGAGAGTAAAACCAAGTAATAAGTGGAATAAATAATAATCGCACACTCTTTTTCCGAATTGCGTACGTCGCGAGTAAACAAGAAAAATCCATTTTTTAATAATGCGTTTAAATAATAGCGTTTGCATTATATTACGTTTCTTTATTATTATTCAGTGCTGCCGTTGGAATTAATTCGTCAACGAATATATCGTTCATGCAAATCAGCGTGTTTTGTTTCACGCAGTTAAACGCAAATGTAAAATGAAGTAAGAAAATTTATTCACTGTTTTTAAATCATAAGAACAGTTGTCGAAGGCAACTAAATAATTCTTATATTCTAATTTATGCAAGTGTTATATGTGTTTTTAAGTGTGCATTTTTATTACTGATATCATTCCGGAATATAAATTTTAGTTTCTTATTATATAAATACGATATAAATCAAATTAACCAACTTTTTACACTATCGTTTCCTTCGACTTGAATTAAAATCTTTTTTTACAGAATAGAACTACGTTAATAATATTAATAATGATTAAATCAGAAGTGCAAAATTATAAATAATTTTATCATAGCGGCAAAACATACAGTTAGATTAGCAAGGTATAATTACAGTAGCAATTATGATAATCGCGCAATTTAAAGCAATAAATCGTATTATTTTGAATGCTCGTAGCATTCATTTCCCCGCCGCATTGACCATGTAATGATGTCGCGTTAGATTGTCGGTTTAAATTTGCACGCATGTTAAAGCGCCCGGTATTGATGCTTTTTGTTACTTCGAACAGCCTCGGTAATTGACTGAGTAAATCGGAGCAATTTACATTCGCTAAATGCGCGCCGGTATCGATTGCATTCAAAAGCGATGACGTCTGTGAATGTACGCTGAAGAATACTAACAGTGCTATCGAAGTGCGAATAACAATAATACAGATTGGTAGCTCGCCGTAACGTCAATCTCATTTGTCCTTCGCAACTTGAATAACTAAATATTTCTGAATCATTAGCAGACGACAAAACGGCAGTTGACACAAACTGTGATTGCAGTGACTATAATAACAAAATTGATTTGCAAGTTTTTTACGTAACGACGCACCCATAGAAAGGATTTCTGTTACTGAGACAAAAATATTCTTGGCGCATTTGTATTTCTCACAACCTCATTTAGCACAAAAATAAGACAATATCAAAATAAAATCAATAATTCTTATTCCCGTCTATTGAATTAAGAAAGATTTACTTATTATATTGAGACAAGAGTAACTTGTCGTTGTTCTTGTGTTTAGAATAAATTTTCCTTCCATCTTACAACGCACGAAGTTGGCAACACGATATTCGACAAAAGACGATTCTAGATTTTAGAATTTTTCATTTATGATTAAAATGTTCCTTTTCTCTATAATAAATACGATTGGCGCTATATCGATCCTATTTTATGATACATTGAAGTGTAATAGCATTGGATCCGGAAATTTTTTCTGTGGGTGCACGAATGTTCGGCAATGAGAATATTTTGTTAGCATTTTGTTAAGGCCTTGCGAAGAAGAACCACTGCGTATTTACTTTCAATTATTTATAATGTTCGGATGCTCGTGTCTAACGTAGACAATGATTGTGCTCGTGAATACATACGACACCGCATTACGTCTTTGAATTATTCAGTGTAACAAGAGTATACATGAGAAACGTGTCCCACATCCACGTCAAATACAATGCACATACGGTAGCGTAGAAAAGAAATTCCGAGCGGAAAACCGCTGACCAAAATCATGTACACCAATGCCCACCGGGCGTTACTTTATCTTATTATCTTGTTTTATCTTATCTTGTTTTATCTTATTTTATCTTTATCATGCCCGAGCAAGGCCTAATGTCCAAAAGAATGTCTAGTAATGCCCAGTAATGCCGCAAATCTGTACACCACAATGCCCACAGCGGTTTCCGCCTCGAGAAATTCTAAATATGGAATTTATAAACGCCTTTGAATATTTCATTCTACATGAATGAAGTAGCGAGCTGGCACGAATCGAAATATCCTAGATTCTTGAATTCGCAAGAGAAACGTGTGCGTAAATTCTGCTCTTACAGAAAAGTTGCAGGTCGAGTGGCTAAAAGCCACGCCACACGATAACTAATCAACTTGCAACATTTCTATAAGAGCAGAACGTGCGCATACGTTTCTCTTGCGAATTCTGCTCTAACAGAAAAGTTGCAAGTCAAGTAGCTAAAAGCGATAACCATTCAACGTTTCTTTACCGAATAAATTCAAGAATCAAGCTCCTGATGCATGAAATACTATTTTTTCTAGGAATGTTAGCTCGAGCCTTAACTGCTTCTCTTGCCGTAATTGTGTAATTCTTCGGTTGCGCAACGAAGTGCGCGCTTAATTCCAGATTCAATTTTCATTTACGTGATGAAAGACTGCGCGCGTTCTAATCCGAGCCGAGATATGCGGGTCGATGATCGAAGTCGTACCACGCCGGAGCGGCGAATATCGACAGATTCCTTATCCGGGCACATGTCACGGACGGAAAGACGCCGATCGCGAAGAAGCCCGCGTAACATCGCCTTCGCGTTTATTATTTACGATTAATCGATCGCAATTGACGCATTGAAATTTTCGCGACAGAGTGCGGAGCGCAACTTATACAATCTGCACAGTGGTTATAGGCGAACCGCACCCACAGAAAAAATTTCCGGATCCAATGCTATTAAATGAAAGATTGTAAAATCTAGAATAAAATGATAGTATGTATCGTCTTTTGTCGAATATCGCGGTGCCAACTTCGTGCGTTGCAAGATGGGGGGAAACACTTATTCTATAATAAACGCAAGAATATATAAACTTGCATTTATATTACATAAGTTAGTCTTGTCTCAATATAGCAAGTCAATCTTTTTTTAATTCGATAGAGGAGACTAAGAATTATGGATTTTATTTTGATATTGTCTTATTTTTTATACTAAATGAGGTTGCGAGAAATATAAATGCGAAAGAATACTTTTTGTCTCGGTAATAGAAATTTTTCTGAGGGTGCGAACTCGCAAAAATAGCGTACGGGATTTCGGCGGTCAATGAAATCGTCTGCCGGGTAACGTTTTATAAAGGCACATCACAGAAAAGATGTCTTTTTGCGCTCCGTAACGACGCGGCATTTCCTCGCGCGGACAAAAATGATGCCGAGAGGAGGAGCCGTCGCGGACGCGGACGCGAACGGGGTAATTTCCTATGTAATTGAGAAAATACACCGGCAATGGCCTCATTACGGTAGCCGTCGATTTCTCGTAACGACTTTCCGCGCGCGCGCGCGCGCGCCCTGATTTGGCGCAACGCCTTTTTTTTCCTCCGCTCCTCTCTCGCTTCGTAAGAATTATAATGCGGACGATAGCACGGCGCGCAGATATCGCGATCCACTTCCGGAGAACGCTGGCGAGAAAGGTGCGGACGAGTCGGGTTTTATTAATCGCGTGACTTAGGTATGAAGTATACGTTACACTTGCCTTCAGGCTAATGATCGATGATAACACTGATAACTCTCATCGCTCTCGTGATATCAAAAATAGTGCTATCTCACTACCTGCACGGACAGAATTTTCTCTTAAAATTTATTCTGAAAATTATGTAATCGTGAGACAACACGGCATTTCGAAGAATTTTTCGCGCAATCGTGGGACCACGTGGTATTTTGAAGAACTTTATGAGAGCTTTTTGCAATTTTATCGTACGTTTTATGATGCTAGTAAAATTTCAGAAAACTCAAAGTTCTGCAAAATACCACGTGGTATCACGATTGCACTAAAAGTTGTTCGAAGTGCCATGTCGTCCCACGAGTACGTGATTTTCAGGATAAGAGAAAATTCTCCCCGTGCACGACTGCGCTATTTTCGGGGTAAATTTCAAGAAAAAGATTCTCTCCGTGTTTCGTTTAAATATACTGGTACGCGAAACGCGTGCGTCTAATGCCTACGTTCTGATATTCACTGCCAGTACTGAAAATCCACAGTTTACGTTACGTACGCTATAGATTTTCATTACTGGGCGGTGAATATCGGAATACAGCCTATTATAGATTCCAGAAATTCGGATTGCAATTTCCGTCTGATCGCTTTCGAAAGATACAGCTTTTCAGAAGTTTTCTCGCGATCTAGGAATGGAATTTATCTAGAGACCTAAATCTCTTACTTCTCATAAATAAAGAAATTTTATTTTATTGATGTGTCAGCGTGAGAAAGCGCGTTTCTCTTGAAAATGACGTGCATGCGGAGGATAATTCTAATGTGTCACGTTGCAAGACGCGCGATTTCCTCCGAAACAATTACGCATAACAAACG